GAACGGATTTGATGACCTATTTGATGAGATAAATAGAATTTTTTTTTAAAAAAGCACTTGATATAAGGTCCAAATGACAAAGAAGCATAGGGAAATATGCTTCAACTCACCAGTAGTCGTTAATAAAAATGCAAACTAAAACATCCAGGGACGGTAATACGAAGTGTTTACAAGGACACAGGGTGCTGCTGGGGAGAATGTAGACAGCTGCAGCCACTCTAGAAAGTAATCTGCTTGTACCTCACAAAGTTGTGCAAACAACCCCCCACTGTACAATATTCCAGGGTAAATAGTCTAATCTAGTTCAGGTCCATAAGGGGGCACATAGTAGGGTGTTCTTTGTGGCAGCCAGGGGTTGTATCCAGCACTACAGGAATGAATGAATTAAAAGTAGTAAATGTATACTACGAATTACTCTGCAAATGTCAGAAGCGTTGAATAGCACTGCAGCATTGGACACGGAACATGATGGATCTAGACAACGGCGCTGAGTGGGAAACAATGACACCTTTACAGCATAATACCATTAATACAGGAAACGGGAGTGAGAGGATGGTCAAGTCCCAGGTCTCGGGCAAGTCCCTGGAATAGGCAAAGTGAAGGTCCTTGGATTCGCGCAGGAAAGAATTCAAGAGCGAACAGCAGTTGAGTAAAAGTAGATTCATTCACAGAGATGCACATTCCATAGATAGAGTGTAGGCCGGCTCAGAAGGCCAGGGAGGCCGCGAGGCGTGGGGTTGTTAGTTTTTATGGGCCCGGTAATTTCATATGCTAACAAGTGGGAGGATTATTCCAACTACTCTGGGGAAGGGGTGGGATTCCCAGGAACTGGGCCGTTACCCTGAGCCACCACCCTTTTTCTGACCTTTTATGGTCAGCCTCGGAACTGCCATGGTGCCTGGGGGAGTCATTACCGTGTTCATATACTACAATGGGAGTATAATGAAGTTCAAGGGCTACTGGGACTCAAATCTTCAACTGCTGTGTCATTGAACGGTTGTGCCCTGCCCCTTTTCCTCCTGTCTCACCATTAATATAAATTTCGAACACACAACATGACATATTTGATAAAGGATATGTACACATTTAAGCATGCATACCAAACAAGGTGGTGTGCACGCCTCTGGGGGAGATTTGGAATTGGGAATGATGGGGGAAGAACCAAGAAATGAATGTTGGACTAAACAATTTTGGTAACATTGTTTAGTCCAACACTATGCTATGAATTGAGGTCCAAAAATGCAAGTCCAAAATTAAAAAACTAGAGCCATACCCTTCCTGGCCTCTATCTTAATGGAAGGCAAGTGTCCTAACAGCCTCAAATATCCAAACAAGGAATCCTGAAACACTCTGGAGCTGCAGCTCCCACTCCAGCATCAAAGAGAAGGGCTGGGAGCACCGCTGTTCCGGACTCCATATGGGAAGCAGGACACAGGGGTAGGATTTACGATTCTGTCTCACATGAGCAGCTGGCTCTCAGGCATGCAATTCAACTTTCCGCTCGACTGCATCATTAATAATTGTTTACATATATTACATTGAGTAACCCTCACAAAAACATGAAAGGCTGGAATTATTGTAATTTTACAGATAACCAGTCTAAAAGACGTATAATCACTTTCTCAGGGTCTCCCAACTAAAAGAGCCGATGTCTATGTGAAGGTCTAACTCCAACACCTTATACATGTGCCAAGAATCTAAAGAGAAGTACTCCCACTACTCTTTCTGGAAGAATTTGTGAGGAATTACCATGCAAAAGCCTTAAGAAAGCTGAACAGGAAAGTGACTTGTTCTCCTGTCAATAAAGTACCCTTACCTCATGGCTTCAAATTATCTGCTTTTCTCTACCATGTAATCTGTTGTCTCCCTGTCTTACACTCTGTGACTAAAGTAGAAAATCTTAGCAGGGTACAGCAAACATGCTAAGCAGGAACTAGAAATCACTATGCAATCATGTTTCAAAAAGGAAACATTTTTTCCCAGCTGTCTCTAAAAGAGACCCAATCATAATAGCAGCAATTTTGCCCAAAATTCATGTGTAGTCGTAGCATCCAAATACAGTCACTGCTAAAAGGGTGCAGGACTCTGTGGAAAGTTTACTTATACCTCACAGAAAAACCTGCATTGCATTTGCTCAGGAAGAGATGTCTGAAATACTTTAAAAAGAAAACCCTCTATTAGGAGGGAGGGAACAAGTGGAATTTTCGCTCACCTGAAGCAGTTTAGCCACATTTCCTTTTGACTCATTTACATCAACTGAGGCAGTATTAAATTATCATTAATTTTCAAATGGACTTTAAGTTATTGAAACAATGTTTCACAAATCCTAAAACAAGTTCAAGTTTTATAAAGAGTAATTAACATGTATCTCTTATTAAAATGAACTCTACTGTGGGCCATCTTTTTCTCCTTGGGCAACAAGAACAATAGAAAATAGAAAATATATAAGGAAAATGCAATCTTCCTTTAGACTCTTTCTTAGGCCCCCAAATAGATCTAGCAAGACCTTTTACTGAGAAAAAATTATTTGGAAACTTCTATGTCTGATTTCATAACCTCTTTTGAAAGTATATGCTTGTTTTCTCCCTCCCTAAATTCCTTAGAAGGTAGTTAGCTTCATGACTTTGGGCAGGTCACTGATGGGTCTGGAACATCCTGTTATTGCCAGGAAGTAAGGGTGCTTGCAGAGATGTCAGGGCAGCGCTGAAGGGAGCAAGGAGTCAGCTTAAAGTGGCCACAGTGGCTAAATTCTGACAATTTGAGCATCAAAAATATGTACATTATAATTAAAATGTAGACAGTAAAAGGCCATGAACTCAAGAGACTAAAAAGAAAAATGTGAAAATGCAATCCACAAATACATAGGCATAACAAAATATGAGAATGCATTTAGTAAGTACAAAGTATAAATAAAAATGCATATGTATACACACACACACATATGTATATACATTTCCTTTCCATTAGGTATATAAGGCATATAAATGTGTATACGTGCAAGTGTGTATATGTAGTGTGAATAGACAGACCACTTATCTTTCCCAGGTCTTTAAACAAAAGTCAGCTTCAAAGAGGCCTTCCCAGGCCACACAATCTAAAATATCAATCTGGTCTCCAGCAATTTCTTCATCTTTTTCTCCTTACAATTTACTGTCTCACATAGTATATATTTACTTATATATCTTTTTACTGTCTGCCTCCTTGATTAGAAATTAGGTCTATGAACACAGGAATTTTTGTTTAACTCACTACTATTATCTTCAAAGCCTGGATTAGAACAAAGCTTGGCACACAGTAGGCACTCAATACAAAATTTTAAAACACAAAAACACAAACCTTCTGCTTAATCAAGAATGTATAAAGAAAACCCTTACATATGACAAGCAAAAATTGCATCAACTGTAACAAGGCAGAAAGATATGTTCAGCATAACCAGATTAAAAAAGGAATCCAAAAGTTCATCACCATTGATCACACTCAAACAAGTGGAAAGGGTTTAACCAGTGTGTTCTAAATGAATTAGTCCATGTCCTAAAAAGAATTAACTGAACAAACTCAAATCCTCATTTTTATGACAGGAAATCTCTGGACAGTCCTATTGTATCTATAAGATACTAATAAAGCATGAGTTTTAAATAATGCTGAAAGATCGAGCCAATGTACCACAGTAAGACAATAGGTTGCATAGCTGCAGATTAAGCAAAATTTAGCACCTCATTGTGAACAGAAGCATCAGATTGTAAAGTACATCTGTGCTAAAGGCATGGCTGTTAAAGATTCTGTCAACATGACAAGTGAAGATTAACTGTAAAAACAGAATCAGTGGCTTGGGTTTACATCACCTTGGAGGAAGAAATCAGGTGCCACACTTAGATCAGGAATAAGTTAATGAGTAACTCGGACTTATCATGGGTCTGAGTCATTCTTTTTTTTCTTTAGGCCTAGTAAGTTTAGAGCAACCTTAGGGAACTTTCTGAAATAAATTATTACTCAACCCTTAGAAAATATTAAAATAAGTATTCCTATACCTCCAGGAAACATGAGAGAGAATAAACTAATGATGACATAAACTCAGCTTATGATATTAAGATATTTTAGATTAGATGTAATACAAGCTTGGCAGTGTTTTTAAAAGCATTATATTTGTTTCTGTTCAAGGTTTGACATTTTCAGTTACACTAAATCTGTAATTTAAGTTGTTTAAAGAGAATTTGTCTTAGTATGTAAGAAAAATAATTTTCAGGTTTTTATAAGTATAAATTGACTATTAAAGTAATTATATTAGTAATCATTGTTTCACACCATGCATATTTATGTGTGTATATATATATATATATATAAATCCTTCACTTTTTCATAATTCATTTGTTCTGATCTGTTTTTATAGATGCTTTCCAGACAATACCCAAGATTCTAACTGGTTCTTAACTGCTCAAAGCAACATTTCCGTATCAAATTTTACCTCTATATATCTGCTCAGATAAAACAGGAACATACTGCCCCACCCCGTCATGTTCCTCATTACTCTGAAGAATGGTAATGATTTACTCTCTAAAAATTTTAGGCTCTGCTATACTTTAATCGTTAGTTGAAAATGGCTCATTCTGTCTGCTAGCAATGTCTTGTCTAGTATCTCTAGTTTCAAAGAAGTTATCCATAAACTTCTTAAACCAAGTTTACAACCCACTTACAAAAGACCTCATTTACAATTCTAATTATAGTCTATCACACAGTATGTTTAAACCCACGCTGCAAGCAAGAGATCAAATAATTCCTTTACGATGAAGAGCCATTCATTAAACTGATGGATCCATTATTCTCTGAGCTGGGTAATCTTTCTTCAAGCATCTATGGTGAGTCACTGCCACAAATTATTTTAATTCCCTATGAGAAAGCCTGTTAAGTTTTACTAAGTAAATTGTAAAAATTCATTCTTACTGTGAAACAGACTAATGAATACTTAGTTTTTATCAACAAACAAAATGTAAAAATTCTCTCAGCTTTATGAAGGCTGTGTATGTAATTTCATAACTTTTTATAAGGTTTCTGCTTTGGATAAATAATTACACCATATAAAAGATTAAGGCTTTCTCACATGCATAGCAAACATGGGGTGTAGAAATGAGGACTCTGATTCCAAGAGGCAAAGACCCAAATTAAATTAACAAGCAAAAAAAGGAAATTTATTGGATCACAAAAATGAAAAATTAAAAGATGGTGTAGACTTCAGGCATGACTGGATCCAGAAGATCAAACAATATCCTCAGATTTCGGTCTCTTATCTCCATTTTTCCCTTTATGTTGTTGGATTTATCTTGGGAAGACTTCCTTCACGTGGTGGCAAAAAGGTTACTGGTGAGATTTTAGCCTTACTAAATCCTTAAAACTTCCAATGCCAGGAGTGGGGAAATGATCTTCTCTTACAACCCATAACAATGCCCACCTAGGGCTCTTTAGTCTAGACAGGGCCATTTCTAAATCCCTATCCATCATTAGGTTGAGGAAAATAATTGGCCAGCCTCTGACCAATCCACAGCTCTCCCTGATTAAACAGCTTCACCGGAATGACGTGCATTGAGGGTGAGGTAAGTCTCAAATGGTGCGTAGAACAGATCCCAAAGTAAAGGACGTCTACTATTCAGGCTGTTTCAAATGAGGGATGCTCATGAACTGAAGGCTTTTCCACATGTACTACATTCATAGAATTACTAGCTGAAGAATTCGCTGATATTGATTTAATAAGGACTGAGTGGTGACCAAGTGCTTTCTTACACTTGTTACACACAGTCAGTTTCTCTACTATGAATTTTCTGATGTCGTCTAAGGGCTGAAGCACAGTTAAAGTTGTTCCCACATGCATTACAGTTATAGAGCTTTTCTCCAGCATGAATTCTCTGGTGCAGCCGAAGGGACAAGACCTGATGGAAAGCCTTCCCACATTCATTACATTCATACGGTTTCTCTCCAGTATGAATTCTCTGATGTTGACTAAGGTATGAGCCACAACTGAAGGCCTTCCCACATTTGTTACATTCATAGGGTTTCTCTCCTGCATGACTTCTCTTATGATGAATTAGAACTAAAGCATCACTGAAGGCTTTCCCACATTTACTGCATTCAAAGGGTCTCTCTCCAGTATGAATTCTGTGATGTCGATTAAGTTGTGAGTCAGTCCTAAAAAACTTCCCACACTTGATGCACTCATAGGGCTTTTCGCCGGTGTGAATTCTCTGATGTTGATTAAGGTGGGAGCGATATCCAAAGGTCTTCCCGCATTCAGTACATTTAAAGGGTTTCTCTCCTGTATGAATTCTCTGATGCAGAGTAAGGGCTATGCGTCTGCTGAAGGCTTTTCCACACTGATTACATTCATAGGGTTTCTCTCCAGTGTGGATTCTCTGATGTTGGTTAAGGTGTGCACTCTGTCTGAAGGCTTTGTTACATTCTTTACATTCGTATGGTTTCTCTCCTGTGTGAATTCTCTGATGTTCAACAAGGAAGGCGTAACGGCTGAATGCCTTCCCACACTCATTGCATGCAAAGGGTTTCTCTCCAGTGTGGATTCTTTGATGTTGAGCAAGGTGTGCACTCTGTCTGAAAGCTTTGTTACATTCCTTACACTCATATGGTTTCTCCCCGATATGAGTTCTCTGATGTTCACTGAGAAAGAAGTCATGGCTAAAGGCTTTTCCACAGTCATTGCATGTGTATGGTTTCTCTCCGCTGTGAATTCTCTGAGGTTGAGTAAAGAATGAGTAACACCTAAAGGCATCACCACATCCATCATATCCACGGGGTAATTTAACAAAATGAGTTGTCTGATGCTGAGTAAGTAATGAGTGGAAACTTAAGAGATCTGAAAAATCATTACTTTCGTAAGGTTTCTCCCCAGGAGGAATTTCTGCCTCTTTACTGAGGTTTGTACTCTGGTTGAGTTCTTTACATCCATCAGCTATCAAAGATTCCTCCTCAGCATGCAGTCTTTTATGCTCAATTAGGACTGAATTTTGGGGGAACATTTTGTCATAAATATCAAATTTATGTACTTGCTCTACTGTGGGAACTCTCTGTTGTGTTAAAAGCACTGACTTCAAGAGAACGTCTCTCTCAGAATTATTATATTCATTGTCTCTTTTCCCAGCAGAGATTTCCTTAAGAGTTGTCGCTTGCCTGAAATGCCTCTCCTGATTTCCTTGATGCAGCTCAAATTCACCCTCACGTTTCCAGGCTCCTCTGAAACACGAGCGTCCAAGGCCGTAACTTGTCAGTCTTTCCATTATCATCCCCTGGGATATTTCCTCTTCATCAATGTACCACTTTGGAGATAATGCCTTGATTTCATACCAAGACTCCCAGTCTGAAAAATATCAAGAAAGCAAATGTCTCCTCTTTCCCTTTGCAAGGAGAAAGAAAACTCTTATTAATGAAACTGGAGAATTTACTTGGGGGAAAGAGAGAAGAAAGTCATGGTTTTGACACCTCTCAAATACGGCCATGCAATATGAACAAAATACAAAGAAAGCACAGAGGATGAAGACAGCTGACAGAGGAAGGTATATGAGGTGGTGATGGTGAGACGGTGAGAAGGAAATGCAGGGCGTCAAGATGCAGACAAGGCTAAATACCAAGAAGATGAGGAACTGAGAACAACTGATTAGATCGTAGTTACCATTTCCCTGCCTCTAGTCTTTAGTCTCCAGTCCGTCCTGCACTAGCTAAACTAAAAGCTCAATAAGGGCAGAGATTAATGTTTGCTTCTCTTTCTTCTTACTGTTATATTTAGCACATAGGAAAATGGCAGCATTTTGCTGAATGAATGAGTGCTGACAGAATGCTCAACAACTTTCCAGATTTTATCAAGGACCAGAGAAAAATGGGGTTTTCCCCCTTAGGTTTTAGAAGAAATCTGAAGGTCACCTTTTCTTATCATAGAAAAATGCTGCCTTACAGAATAGACACTTGATCTTTCAGGAGAGAATACTGGTAGAGGTGAGGTGGAAAGAAAACTATTTTTCAAAAGACGATCTCCAAAACAGGAAAATAACAAACCCACACCATGTTACACCACAACATGTTACACCATGTTAATCAGCTGATACACTTATACAGAGCCCACTACTATGTGCCCAACTTCTAATAGAGAGAAAAAAGTCTGAGACACAGGTCCTTCCCTTTTTTAAAAAACTGAGAGAGAAAACTTGTGCATACAAAAATTCAATATAATACATAATGCAGAACTAGTTAACATGACACAGATTATTAGCAGTACAAGTGTCAGAAAATCAGAGATCAAAGCTCGCTAGCTTAGTTAAGAAATAATTCCTGGAGAATATGAGATTGATTTACAAGGCTATGATCAAGCTGCCAAAATACAGTGATTATTTCAGTAACAGTATTTGCATACTTTGTATTCATATTCAGTATTTTCATGTTTTGGTATGCTTAGGGTTACTTTAGAACTAGACATGTTAGCATTCCTCAGATAATTAGATACAGTCTTTTTTTCATAACAGCTTCCCACCTGTTGAAAAAAAAGCTGCCTCCAGGCTACATCTGCACAAACTGAAAAGCAAAGAACATATACTCCATCTGTACCTTTCATCCCAACACACCCTCCACTCAAGGAAAGCTCCCATCTCTACCAGGCCCTCCTATGCACAGCCATGGATTTTTCTTACTTGGGTCCCCATCTCAACCTAGGCCTGAGAGTCTTTTGTTGACTTATCCTCTGTTAGCTCTACACTGTTGTTCATTCTTCTGGCAGAAGTACAACCACCGCTATTTCCTCACTTACTCTCCTAGAACCTCCTTTCCTGTATCCATCACCCAGGGCCACCACATTCCCTCTTACCAAGAATAAATCTTTACTCCAGGCAAATGACAGCTTTATACAATACCTAAGGTAATGCTGAGTAAAAGAAGACTGAGGAGAAGATGCCAGACATTCTCTAACATGGAGGATTCTCAGGTGCCTGGAGCTCCAACCACTCTCTTAAAAAAAAAAAAAAAGATGTTCTGGACTTAGACAAATGAATACTATAAGGGAAGGAACTTCATGTGGGGTACTCCAGGGGAAAGTACACAGTAGAGTCTGGGGGATGTATGGAGCACGAAATAAGTATTAAATATGTAGAAGAAATGTTCACTATGACTGGAATAGAGGAACACTTAGAAGTCAATGGCATTATGATGGCATTCAGCAAAAGGTAATTTACTCATATCAGTAACTGATTGAGGGGTAAAGGAAAATTATGGATTCAGGCAAAGCAGAAGACAGACAAACTGACATCCATGTGGCACAGCAGAAACACAACAGGGCTTGAGGGTCAAAGGTGAGTTTGAATCCTACCCCTGCACCCAGCTAGCCAGTTACTCTACTGTTAGTAAACTGATTAACCGACCTCTTGAGCCTCAGTTTCTAAGTAGGCAAAATAAGGTGATCTTGCAAGTGTGGTATAAAAATAAGGGATAACATATTTATACAATACCTAGCAGTGTCTGGCTCACTATACATGTTCACTGATACTTATCATAAAATGAGACAAATTAATACATGCTCATTAAGCTATCCCTACGCCTACACTACTAGTAGGTGCAGATATTATTACATCTCTGTCCAAAAGAATTATGAAATAGGCTGATGATCACATGGCAAGAAAGAACGCGAAAGGTAACCTCTTTGGGATTAAAACGTACCCAGACAGATACCAGAGACACATAATTTCCAACTGATCATAATCTATAAATGATGGAAGTTAGAAGTCAAATCATGAGCAACTTTGGAATCCAATCAGAACTGTATAGTAAGTAGGCTGGTGTATAAGGTTGGAAGAGGAAAAGATCTCACTAAGCTGCAGACCTGTGCTGAACTGGTGAGCAGTAGGTAGATATACTGATTCAGCAAACCGTCTTCTGATTCAGTAAACCCTCCTTTGATTCAGTAAACACTCCCCAGGCATGAAACCCAGGAGATTCTGGTGCAAGTGTGTGGAAAAAAGGGAAATCTTAAAAACAAAGAGGGAGTTTACTGCTAAAGCCCAGAATCCATGCTCCAATGAACAGCTTAACCAATGACCCACAGATTTATAGATTGGATCTCCTTGTTTAAGAGAACGTATAGCTACGCTGTCCAATATAGCAGCTACTAACCACATATGGCAATTTAATCAAAATTCAAAATTTAAGAATTCAGATTCTCAATCACACCTAGCATTATTTCAAGTGCTTAAAAGCCAAATGTGGCTCGTGGCTACTGTTCTGGAAAGCACAGATCACTTCTATTATCACAGAATATTCTATTAGACAGCACTGCATAGAGATTCAATTAATGACAAAGATCTTATGGCTGAATGAGGAAAAGAAAGAAAAACAGGCACAGGAGCCATTAGAGGGAGAGAGATACAGAACAGAGCTTTGGACAGAGAAAAAGTACCTTATGCATCTCAGTAAGCTGAGGAATGTGAAAATGAAGAAAAGCACCTGGATTTATTCACACTAGAGGGGCAGAAGTCAGACTGTAAGTGGTAAATAAGACAGTGGAAGAGAATCAGAACTAAACGCAACAAGTGAAGATTACAACTAGTATTTAAGGAACTGGAAGACAGAAGGGAGTATGGCGTGTAGGAACACCAAAAAGGTCCTATAAAATGTCACAAAATTATTTTAAAGACTTAAGTAAACAAAAAAGTTAAATATAACAATACTAAGTGAAAAAAATAAATATTCATACTCATTTGCCCCAAGTTATTTTATATCAGGTCACTTGCTATCATAATTCCATAAGGATTTTATTTCTGAATTTATGAAATTATTTTAAAGGATGCTTAGGAAAAAAATAATACTTATAAAAGAAAATTCTGGTGAAATTCTTGGACCAATAATACTACCTAAGCCTTGCATTTTACACCTTCTTCTCATTAAAGTCTCTTCCATAAAAGGACTGAATCAGGGTGATTTGTAAAATTATCTATCATTGTGCGGAAGTGTCAAGAAAAATACACCTAATGCCAAAAAAAAAAAAACCACCCACAAAACCTTATGGGATGCAGAGGAGAACAGAGTGAAGGGGTACATCACCGTGCACCCCCATCCTGATTACACTTGGCTGAAAGGAATCTCATGAGAAAAACACACGGAAGGATTTCCCTACCCAACTGTATGTGTAAGGGAGCATCAGCTGAGGACAAGCACATTAGGGCTGCTCTACAATATTTTTCACTTTTTCTTTTAAACAGAAATAATATGTATTAGAAAATATTTAAGCAATGCAAAAATGTATGAAGTATACTCTCTCAAAACATCATCCCAAAGACCAGTACTATTCATGGTTGGGTCTGTTATCCTCCTAGAATTTTTCCTATACAGATAATACAACTTTTTTCTAACTTAAAAAATTAACTTACAACATTGTAGACATTTTTCCTTGTCAGTACAAACAAAGCTACCTCATTCGCAGAATGAATGAACCATAATTTAGGTAACCAGCATCTTAATAGATTTTTATACTTGTATCCCTAAAGCTAAGTTATCTGCTTGCCAAAATTCAGTTGTGCTTGCAACCTGTTTAGTTCACATTTATAATTACATAGCTTAATTAAATTAATTAATTAGATGAGTGCTGAAAGAGAGTCCTCTTAATGAAAACTAAGTTGAAAGTTGTAGAAAAACAGGCTAAAAGTCAGTTACTCAAAAACCCGATTTTGATTTAAGTATGGAAGAGAACTGTAGAAGCCTATTAAAAACATAAAACTCTGTAAGGATTCTATACTCATTGGTTTGGAAGCATTTTTGCTTCACTCTATAAGAAATCAACAATGAAAGTTTTTATTTATGTCAGAAAGACAATGTTGAATTTTAATCAACAGAGCATATTCAAGTAAAAGGTTTTAACACTGTATCAAAAAACTAATAAACATTCACTTATATGCCATAAAGTTAAAATAAAATGCCTCACATTTGTGTATATATATTTTTTGATTCCTCATAACCAACTTACAAATCAAATAAGCAGCTTCTACAATATGTTTTTGCATAATTTAATATTTTATAGGTTCTAGTGTGAAATAAAACTATACACATATTTTAAATAGTAATATCCACTGTCAAACTGCCTTCCAAAATAATTTTTATCAATTTACATTCCTATCAGCAATATAAAGTATATGTCTTCAAACCTAATCATACTGGCTAATATCATTCTAAAAATCTTTGCCCCTACAAGTAAGAGTACCTCATTATTGTTTTAATTTGTAATTCTCTTATTATTATATTATTGAGCATTTTTATATACATTCTGTATCTTTTATATACTTTGTGTCTTCTTCTTTGGTGAATTTCTTACTCCTATACTTTGCACAT